AATCAGCATCCAAATCAAGAAATAACAATGGTTGCCTTTGTATCCCTGTAGCAGCCCTGTGGGGCAGTGACAACTAGATCCCTGAGTTACTGGTTAGGATGAGGAGGCTCCAAGAGAAGGAGCCGTAGTTGCCTCCCATAACCTTTGGGCTAATGGCCTCCGGGAACCAGATGATAAGACAGCCTCTTAGCTGTGTTTCCAGGGCGTCTTCCTCTGACCTGCCCTGCCCCTAGAGGGCAGTCAGGTTCTCTCACTTCTTTCCCTTCCCGAGACAAAGGCAGCCCCAGGAGACGCTCAGCATTCCAGTGGGAGAGCTGGTTATCACAGGAAGGAAGGGAGGGTGGGGAGGAAGGGACTTGGTTTTTTGGTCCCTGCAGGAAGATCAGAGTTGGAGAGAGGAAGGTGCCAGAGTGAATGGAGGCAGTGTGTAGGGCTGGAGGGCCAGTGGAAAGGGACTGGGGGGGTGGCCTTCCCCATTATTGCACAGTAATCCCTGACAAGTACTAAGCATTTACTGCCTGGCAGACACTATATTGAATGCTCTCTAGAATTCTTACTGGGACCAGTAGATGGAGGAGGAAACAGAGGCGAAGTCATCTTTAGAAGATCAATTGCACAGCCACTTAGGCCTGCTACTTGAACTCAAGTTTGTGTGTCACCCAAGACTTCCCTTATCATCACTTACACCTGGCCCACGGCCTTTGGTGTGGATTTCCTTGTTAGCTTCTAATCTTGGCCCCAGACACTCGGTTCAGTGGCCTTTGGCACATCATGTTAGTTCTCTGTGCCTCAGTTTCCTCATCTGTAAAATGGAAACAATGATAGTCCCACTGGGACTATTATTGTCACATGAAGTCACAATGCATGACTCAAAGTAAGTGGCCAATGCATGATGCCTCTAATAGTTCTGTGTAGCTGTAAGATGCAGAAGATGGACCACAGGGGATGTTATAAGGATGCATATTTCACATAAGACAAAGAAGGATTTTTTTTTAAAAAAGAAAAAAGAGGATTAGCTTATCTAATGATAAAATCAGCTTCCTTTGTAGATATTAAGCTCTCCATTCCAGGAGGTATATAGTAAGTGTAGGCTGCACAAGCCCACAGTAGGGATGTTAGGGAGGGGATTCAAATTATAAGAAAAACAAGCCTCCACCCTGAGGCCTGTCTCCTGGGGCTGTTCGAGGCCTATTTGCACATGTAAGCCCTGGCTGTGCAAAGGCATTGACACCTCGGTTGAGCAAGGTCTGTTCTTCCAGGGACTGCAGCCCACCCCACTGAGGGCTGTTCCCCAGAAGGAGAGGAAGGAAGGGAGGGCAGGTGGGCGGAGGGCAAAGGCCCCGTACCTTCAGCCACTCCTCGGCCTGCTCCCGGCTCTGCAGCGCAAGCACCAAGACCTCGGTAGCCCCTTGGGAAAAGCGCAGCTCGTGCCTCTTGTGCCGGCTGTCCTTGGGCACATAGATGACATTGCAGGAGTCCAGTGTTAGCCTCAGATGTGGCTGCCGGTCCTTGGAGCTTTTATAACACTGGACAGGAAGAGAAGAGGTCAGGGCTTCCTGGAGTGGAGGGTGGAGGAGGAAGACACCCTCGAACAAAGGCTCGGAGGAGCTCTGCCCCACCGAGACCTCCCCCACCCAGCCCAACTGTGGGCACTGCATGAAAACAGGGGCTGTGGCTCTTCACCCCAGAGGAGAGGGGGTATCTTTGGGGAATCTTCAGATTTAGTGGGCTACTGAGGGGCCCCAGGGGGCACAGCTACCTGTTAGGAAGCGATATTCTAGTCTAGGAAGACCACTTCTGGGCCAAAGAACTTTTCTGAAGAGAAGAAATAGGCTGGCTTGCAAGGAAGTCAGTTCCTTGCTACTAATGGGCTACATGGTAGGAATGTGGGAGAGAGAGTTCTAGCAGAGATAGAGGGTTGAATTTGGGAAGTCAACAGTTTATCAGTAATGATTCTCACTTCCCAGTTCTTATTATGAGGCTAGCATTACCTGGATACCAGAACCTGACAATGCCCTTACAATGGGAAATTTATAGGCTAATTTCTCTCATAAACAGTTGCAAAAGCCCTAAGCAAATATTAGCAAATGACATTTATATACACATAAGAAGCATACTATATCAAGACCAAGGTTTATTCGGAGGAATGCACGAGTGGTTAACATTCAAAAACCAACCATGTCATTCATCATACTAACAGAAAAAAGGAGACAAACTATTTATCTCAATACAAGAAGGAATAGTATTTGATCAAATTCTGCACCTATTTGTAACATAAATTCCTAAACCAAGAATGAAAGGGAACTTCCTTTATGTGATAATAAGAAATATCTACAAATAACTTGCAACAATACCAGTCTTGGTGGTAAATTACTGAAACCTTCCTTTGAGATCTGGACTGAGCAAAGGATACCCACTCTCACCACTTCTTTTTACATTGTGCTAGAATTCCTAGGCAGTGCAATAAGTCAAGAAAAATAGAGGATGTGCAGAATGGAAAGATTAAGTCATGACCCTGGACTGATTCTGGACTAGAATTAGCTTTTTACTGCTCCAGGATGAGAAAGGTCAGCTCTCAAAAGAATATATGTGAGTCAAGGCTTGTCAACAGACTTGTGGGTAAAGAACTATTTCTTTCTGAAGTTATGCCCATTGTACTTTGCAATTAAGGGTACACTGTCTTTTTTTTTTTTAAATTTTATTTATCTATCTTTAGAGAGGGAGGGAAAGAGATAGGGAGAGAAATATCAATGTACGGTTGCCTCTTGTAGGTCCCCTGCTGGGAACTAGCCTGCAACCCAGGCATGTGCCCTGACTGGGAATTGAACTTTGATCCTTTGGTTTGCAGGCCTGCACTCAATCCACTGAGCTACACCAGCCAGGAAGGGTACACTTTCTTTTATGAAATAATAGTGATGAGAGATGGTGAACTAAAAAGAACTTTTAAGGACTTCCGCCAAGATGGAGGCATAGGTGGATAAGCCGTGCCTTCCCACACAACCAAGTTTAGAGACAACTAAATATTAGCAACAGAAAACATAGCCAGAACACAGAAAATTGAACTTTTCGGAAGTCTGTTAACAACAAATTCTTCAGCCCGACCAGTAAGGGGCGAAACCAGCAGGAGGCAGAGCGGGGTTGCACAGGAAAACTCGGTCAGAGGACTCAGGCGCGCGGAATCCAGGCGTAGGGTTGGACCTAGTGAGCGACCTGGCGAGCAACCTCGGGGAAACAGCGAGGGAGCAGGGCTGCGGGTTGACTGTGGTGGTGCATTGGTGCGCGGATAGACAAGCGAGGGAGTGGGCGATTGGACCGGGACCCAGCGGGTCCCCGCGGCAAGCGGCAGGGAGGGCGCCACCATTTCCCTGCTCTGACCCCACCTCCACATACAGCGTCATAACCCAGCGACTCTGAGTGGCCGGGCCCAGGTGAACCACCTAAGGCGCGGCTCCTCACCCAACAGCACGAAACAGCAGAGGGTGTCGCCATTTCCCCGCTCTGACCACGCCCCCACATACAGCATCACAACCCAGCGACCTGGGAGTCCAAGGTGCTGCTCCTCACACTTAAAGGGCGCCAACAGACCAAAAATGACTCAAGAAGATCTCAAAGCCCCAGAGCCTATAAATCTAAGCGATGAATAAATAGCAAAACTCTCAGACGCACAGTTTAAAACACTGGTGATCAGGATCCTCACAGAACTGGTTGATTATAGCCACAAATTAGACAAATATATGAAGGCAAAACTAATTGAAATGAATGGAATTGCACAGGAAACCAATAGCAATGAAAAGGAAACTGGGACTCAAATCAATGGAGTGGACCAGAAGAAAGCAAATAATGGCCAAACAGAAAAGAGTCAAGAAGCAAGAATTCAATGAAATGAGGAGAGTGTTAGGAACCTCCAGGACATCTTTAAACGCTCCAACATCCGAATTATAGGGGTACCAGAAGGGGGAAAGACACAACCACCAGTGGAAAAACTATTTGAACAAATAATAAAAGAAAATTTCCCCAATCTGGCAAAGGAAATAGACTTCCAGGAAATCCAGGAAGCTCAGAGAGTCCCAAAGAACTTGGACCCAAGAAGGAACACACCAAGGTACATCATAATTATATTAGCCAAAATTAAAATGAAGGAGAGAATCCTAGAAGCAGCAAGAGAGATGGGGACAGTCACCTACAAAGGAGTCCCCATCAGACTGTCAGCAGATTTCTCAAAAGAGACCTTACAGGCAAGAAGGGGCTGGAAAGAGGTATTCCAAGTCATGAAATCCAAAGACCTACAACCAAGATTGCTCTATCCAGCAAAACTTTCATTTAGAATGGAAGGAAAGATAAAGTGCTTCTCAGATAAGATCAAATTCAAGGAGTTCATCATCACCAAGCCCTTATTATATGAAATGTTAAAGGGACTTATCTAAGAAAAAGAAGTTAAAAAAACATGAACAGTGAAAGGATAGCAAATGCACAGTTATTAACAACCACATCTAAAACAAAAGCAAACTAAAAGGACAGCTAGATCAGGAGTGGAAACATAGAAATGAAGATCTCAAGGAGGGTTAGCAACAGGGGAGTGGGAGGAGGAGAAGGGGGGAGAAGGTACAGAAAATAAGTAGCATAGACAGTAGATAGAAAATAGATGGGGGGGCAAGAATAGCATGGGAAATATAGAATCTAAAGAACTTGAGACACATGGTCATAAACTAAAGGGGGGGTAATGGTGGGGACAGGGGGTAGGGCAGAGGGGAATGAAGGGGGGGAATAGAACAACTATAACAGCATAATCAATAAAAAAATTATCCATAAAAAAATAAATAAAAATAAAAAGAACTTTTAAGAAAGTAAGGGCTGCTTCGGGCCCAGTTTTGGGAAAGACTGATGTATGTGAAAATGCTGGTGGAAATATGTTTATTGAAACTTAACAGGCATACCCTCCTTGGGGCATGCCCAGTTGAATTACTTTTTTGAGTGAATTTTCTTTCTCCTAAACTCTTAAGGGCCCCACAAGACTTGTACCCAGGGGAGCCGTCGGCAGTAGCAGCTTGTCCTGGGCCGACCCCTGAGCCTGTCTCCAGGCCCCCTTTCCTCTGACTCCAGTGAGCTGACAGCAGCCCTGGACGGCCAACGCGGAGCCCGCCCGGGCTCTCTCCTGATGCTCTTCTGTCCTAGGCCCTTCCTTGTTTCACTGTCTGCAGCTTCAGTGAACTTAGTCTCAAAAAAAAATTATCAGTGGTTAGCTGTCGGTCAATGGGATTATAGGAGGTGTTTTAAAAAATAATGTCTTCATTTTGTTTTGTTCTATTTTATAAATAAACACACTTTACTTGCATAATGAAAAACAATAACCATTATTTTAAAGTGTAAAAAAATGTGTCTCTGGCAAAATAAACTTTTGGTAAAGTCCATGGCAGGTCTTCTGAGGTTTTTGGTTTTTTAAAAAAATTCTGCTCCAATCTTCAAAGTGCCAGGCTTTGAGCCTCTGTGCACAAGCCCAGAGTAACCGTGGCAGACACGCCCACACACACAGATGCAAGCGCACGACTGCGTGAGGCGGAGAGGAACACGCCCTTGTCCACTCACCAGGAGCTGGTCCTCCCTGATGACGGTCAGCTGCTTGGCCCACTGCCCGAAGCGCTTCTTCCGCAGCAGGAAGGCACATATCCTGCAGTCCCTCACCAGGTGCATGGAGGCCTCCTCCGAGGGCCACTGGTGCGTGGGCTGCAGCCCCTTTCCTTCCTCCTCCTCCTCGTCGTAGGACTCGTAAGAGCTGCTCATTGCGTCAGAGTCATTGTCTGCAGGTGCCATGGGAAAGAACCTGCCACTGTGCCATCAGCTGGGAGGCCCCTCCTGGCCCCTCCACAGGCATCCCTGCTCTGGGGCCCTGGGCCCGTGAGGGGTGGGTGTGAGCTGTGATCACGGTAACGACTAAACCCCCACACGGGCACTGCGTTTTGCGTTCACCACTAGCTTTGTGACCCTGGTGACTTTACTCCTCAGAGCTGCAGTTTCCTCCTCAGTAAAACGGCCCTCATGAGCAATGGCAGCATAGCATCCACCAGATTGGGCTGTTGTGAGATTCAGTGAAGGTGGAGAGTTTAGCTGAGGGCCTAGCACTCAGCGAGTGCTCAGTGACCACCAGCGATGGTCACTACCCCGCCATCTCTGCATCCACTGTCTCAGGTCATTCTCGTGGCGCTCCAGCAAGTCCCTATCGTAGACATGAGGAGACCAGAGGCTCAAGAGAACAGGTGGTTTGTCTAAGGACAGTCACCAAGAGTCAGGGCAGGGGCCCCTGACTCCTGTGCCAGTGATCTTTCTGCTGAATCTTGAGGTCACTGAGAGGAAGGGCTTTGGGGCCTCTCTGGTGGCCCCAGGGAGATCCAGGGGTGGTAGGCACATGCACGTCAAGGGTCAGGTCAAGGGGACAGAACCTCAATGAAAGCCCGCCTGGAACTTACAGGAGTTCTTCAGCTCTCCGTTCATCCTGGTCGAGGGGTAGCTGCTGTCCGCGTCCTCGTAGTAGGCGTCCACGGTGGACTGGGCTGGGCTGCCGCCATCTGTGGGGGTGGCGGAAAGAGCCAAACTTTGGCGAACTGCAGGCAGAGTGCAGGGGCCGGGGCTGGTGCAGACGCCCGACGCCACCCCCTCAGGGAAGGGAGAGTGGCGCACCCTGCAGCTGTCCCGGGCCAGGCTGTGGGGCCTCCTGAATGCTCCTCGTCTGCTGTCGCTCCCCACATGCCCTCTGTGTTCCTGTCACACCCCCAGGCATCGTTCGTGATACTCCCTGTGCCGTCTTATTTTCTCCCAGAGAACTCGTACTCACCCTTCAAGGCCCAGCTCAGAGATTTTTTTCTCTGACCTTTGCTGGCAGAGAGTGGTCAGCTTCTCCTCAAGGACCCCAGAGCACTGGTGCATGTGACTGCGTGTCTTGGTCACAGCTGGGTCCCTGTATGCACAGAGTGGTATCCCAGACCCCCTCTCTGTTTTGCCTCTGCCTCCTCCTCTGCCACTGCAGCCCCTCTGCTCACTCCCTGACACACCCCCTCTTTTTGTCACAGCAGTTCTCCTCCTAAGTCCCTGCGACCACGGAGGGGCTGATGGGCTGGAGGGAGCGATGAAGCACACAAAGGTGAGTGCAACAGCTGCCTGGGCCGAGTTTCCAGACACAGCCCCACTCAGGGCTGCAGCACCGTAAGGGGTTGGGCTGCCTCACATGTGTTGTTTCAGAGTTACCGGGCATCTTTTAAAAATGCAGATCCTTGGGCCGTATCCCTAGAAATTCTGATTCACTGGTATGGATTCAGCTGAGGAATCTGCATTTAAAGAAATTCTAAATGTTTAATAGGACATTTAAAAACATATGTAAAAATAGAAAATATGTGTATTGGAGTGATTTTTGAAGGTTATTTTGATGTAGACGGTCTCTGGAACACACCCTGAAGTTCTGCAGGTTAAGGGCATGTGCTTCGGGATTGACCGGATTTGAGTTTAAATCTATCTCCACCATTTACTGAATGACCTTGGACAGGTAACAGTTTCTCTGCATCTCGGGTTCTTCTCATGAACAGTCCCATCTTGGCTTAGTGATACAATGCATGTCAACTCTCAGCACAGGGCATGACACCGTGTGCTCAAAAAAGGCCAGCCAGCATTATCGTTGTCTCTACCAGTTCTCACAACACGGTTCACCAGTGCCCATTTGACAGATGTGGAAGCTGAGCTATATGCCTTTGCTAGTGACAGCCCCTGGATGAGAACGGGGGTTGCCAGCCTAAGGAGGCACTCCCTCCTTCAGGAAGCCTTCCTTCACACAGTCCACTTGCTCTCATGTCCACTGTTCTTCAGAGCACTGCTCTGGGCTCCCAGACCCTGCTGCCCATCTGTTTCCGGAGGACGGAAGTGCTCAAATTCTCAGCACCTGGGACATCCGGTTGATCTCCCAAGTGAGGCTCAGGGCCCGCCTTTCCCAGCTGGCACTCTGAGGCTTCAGAGTGACATGCGCTGTGAGGTGGCCTGGGGGAGTCAGGACAGGAGGTGTGGGAGTGGGGGAGGAGGAGGCATGATGGAGAAGAGGGAGGGGACACCCTGGCCAAAGTGCTTGGACACCTGGCAGGGCTGGATACTGTGTGCGAGAGGAAGGATACTCCCTAATGGGCTTGGCGCCCTCTCCCTGGACAAGGTCCCTGGCCCTTCCTGAGGCCCTCCCTTCCCTGCTGCCCCAGCATCCCCACTGCTTGCAGAGGCAGCTTCTCTGTCCCAGCCAGGAGGGGTATGAGCTCTCTGCGGGGGCGGAGCAGACTCACCCAGCTGCGGGCTGCCTGGGAGTCAGGGCCCAGCAGCACTTTGCTCCCTTTTTCCTCCCCCATTCTCCAGTGGATAAAATAAAGTCACCTGTTTCACATACAAACAGCTGCTCACAGTGACGAGAGACCCAAGACTATGAAGGCTGAAGAGAGACACTGGTCAACAGGTCCAACCTGGCCATTTCACTCTCTCTTAACTAGTTTAGTAATTATAAAAATAGTATGCCGCAGTAGCCAAAGGCGGAAACAACCCAAATGTCCACCAGCTGATGAGTGGACAAACCAAATGTGGAATATTATTTGGCCATGAAAAGGAAAGAGTACTGATACATGCAATGATATGGATGGACCTTGAAAACATGCTCAGTGAAATAAGCCACAATCAAAAGACTACATATTGTATGATTCTGTTATGTGAAATTTCCAGAAAGGCAAAACCATGAATACAGATAGCAGATTGGTGATTGGCAGGGGCTCAGGGGAGGGGGGAATAGGGAGCGACTGCTTAATGGGTACCAGGTCTTCTTCTGGGGTGATGGGGACGTTTGGGAGCTAGACAGTGCTAATGGCTGCACAGCACTGTGAGCGTACTGGACGCCACTGGGCGGACACTTAAAGTGGCCAAAATGGTCAGTGTTGTTACCTGTATTTTACTACAAATATATATATACACACACACACACATACCCATAGCATAAAGCACAATCAGCACAAAAGAATTTGGGAATATATGTTCCCCCATCTAGATTTGTCTTCATTCCCCACAGTATAGTATGGTTAAGAGTTTCCTGCATATCCTAGAAAAATTGTTAAAATGATTTGCGTGTGTCCTGTTAAAAAATAAGTGGAGTCATGTGGTATTCTGTGTTTGATTTTTTCCAATGAGTGTATCCTGGAATTCACTTCTGATCAGCACAGAGGACCTATTTTCTTTCCTTTTTTGTGGTTGGGAGGTATTCCAGTGTGCTGATGAACGATAGTACAGCAGCACTTAAACGTCACCGTGTACAAGTCAGTCACCGTGCTGGACCATCCTGAACCACCATGTGCGTTCTTCTCTGGAACGTTGAGTCCCATACCCACGCTGGTACCTGATCTGATCCTCCAAGGGACAGCCACCTCTTACAATACTGGAGGGGACCAACTGAGGGACCAGTCAGAACTAAACACTTTCCTTTGTGGCCGATTTAAGGGATTTTTCAGAGATAATTTGTATTAGTGCTCTCCAAATTATTTTATTATGCTCACATATAAGTAGAAATATAGTCATGAAATATACTTGTCCTACTCATGTGTATAAATTACGTATATATATAATTATGTATTTTGTATTATATATACACAATTATATATAAACTAATTACAAGCATCATACTATTATTAGATTATAAATACTATAAACATTCACACAGAAATTTTAAAAGGATGCGTTGCTCTAAATATAAATAGAGCATCTACTACGTCCGCCTGTATCATCTCATCAACCCCCTGGAGTGCCCACACTAGACTCTGAAGACTTCTGATTTCAACCACGTGCTTTTTTACCATATGCCTTGACTTGACAGCCTGATCCACCTTTAAGATGTGACTCTGCCGAAACATACTTTATTTCCCCAGTCTACAGAGGAGGAGTACTTAGGTTAGTACCAGTTCCAGTGCTAGGAACAATGTTCCAGTGGCGATCTCTGTACCTCCATCTTGGTGCATTGACATGTGTGTTATCTGTCCCCTCTTTTCTACTTTAGGGCAGGGGAACAGAGGCCCAGAGAGGTGAAGGGGCTTGTCCAAGGCACACAGAACTGGTACTGGAGCCTGAACTCCTGACCTCCAGGGTCGCACACACTGACCCTCCATCCAGGACATCACTAAAGAGGCCTCATGCTCAGGCGGCCCCTCCTCGGGAGGTGGGCATGGCTGGGTGAGGGCAAGGCTTGGAGCTTCAGGAGAGGA